AATAAACACAGATCTCTTCTACTGAAATCAAATGCAGTAAATCAATAATACATTTTTGCCAATCAATTTTGTATTACATTTTTGCCAATCAATTTTGTATGATAATATCTATCCCATTCCTTTTTCCGTTGAACTAGCAAAAACACGAATAAGCAAAGTGATTCTTCTTCGTAACGTAATGAGATACGAAATCCTTAGGATCTGCAGAAGAAGTTGGGACATTTTCTGGAACAAGAATTTGTGTCCGCCCGTTGGCTATTCTACTTCCAGCAACATTCGCGTAAAACAGACCGGATATGGCCGGAACATAAACATCACTCTCGGAGCAAATGTAGTAATCGATCACCTTCTCAAACTCTGAAGTATCTGAATTTAGAAACTTGTCCTTTTTCTCCATGGGCATTATAGAGTCCTAAAAATAGTTTCAAAATAAAGGGAAAGTTAGGTGACATTAAAAAAAAAAAAAATGCTTGAACATTACAAGAAAGAATGTGTTTGGTAATCATATAAGCTAGCTTATAAGCTTTCTGTATTCAAATAAGCTTGATTTGGCAGGACGAGCTTTTTTAAAAAACTCGAGCTTATCTCATAAGCTTCCTTGGATAGCTTTTCAAATAAGGTAATTGAAATTTTTATTTCAGCTAGCTTATCAGCTAATTTTACCAAACACTTTTATCATATAAACTAACTTTTCAGCCATAAGTCATAAGTTATCAACTATAAGCTCGGAATTCACTTGATTCTGCATCAAGATGTAAATTGTACCTTGGTATAAGTTTTCGGGAAGAAGTCCTTTAGAGCATCGAGGCTACTATGCCATTTTGTTTGCGTCACGTACACAGTAGTGTCCTCCTCGAACCCAATCTTCTTCAAGAAAAGACCAATCTCTTGTGGACCATAACAACTTTTAGTTCCCGAGCCATCGCTTTTATGACACCCCTTTTTCTCCAATATGTCCATCCTCAAGTCAATGGCCACAAACTGCCCGTTTGACTTCCGACTAATGGTTTTCAGGCGGTCGATAATCGAGTCAACCACTTCACGAACCTCCGTTTGAGGTTCTAAGGTCCCAAATGTGGCCAAGCATGCAAGATCATCCGAGTTGGTCTTTTCTTTATTCTTTTTCATGTTGACAGATGGGAAGTAAGTGACGAGCCTCACGTTTCCTTTGGTCCTGAAAACTGGCTCGATATTTTCCGCTATGTGTTCTTCGGTAACTCGGTTAGGGACCTTAACTACAGCAAGATTACGAGCTGATAACTCAGTAGGCTGTGATTTGACGACTTTGACCACACCTTCTAGGCTCGATATGAATTTCTCAACATCATAGACATCCTCAAAGTTACTGAAAGTTTTTCAGATGAGTTAAAGAGATCAATAAATGAGCAAGTTCAAAGTTAGACTATAGTGAAAAATTATATTGACCCCATAACCATAGGTTAACTACATAATATCCAAGACCCCCACAAAAAACGTGAGAATTAAAATGAGACGAATATTTATATTTTGTGCAAAGACCTAAGTCGGAAAGAGAAGTCCATTACTCGTGAACATATTTATATTTCGGAAAAACAAATATTTTTTTGCTCGAAAAAGTCTTCGTCGAACCTTTTCTCTCCGGGATTGCTTCCTCTGATGTCCGGGATTACAAGTGTTGCACGGAGATATCTTGCAACTACTATTGCATCAGAAATCTAAACCAAATGATAAACAGAAAATTATCAAAATGTTAGAAATGGAAAATTGTAGGCACATCCTCGGAAAAGTCAGACGAGTAAGTCAAGATGAGCATAGATTAAGGAATAACTACATAAGCANAAAAAAACAAAAAAAAAAGAAAAAAAAAACAGTTCTTTCTGTTTTTCATGTCTTCCCACTGAATGGGGAAAAAATTGAAACTGAAGTATTTAGCCAGTATATAAGTTGGCACATCGATTTGAGCACAGCAATAGAATATGATGAATATCAACACAGAGCAACCATACACATAAGATTGACATCGATTCTTCTATTACTTTTTTCAAGATTGAAAATTGAACTAATAACGGAAAAAAAAAAATGCGCGGCAACTGATAAATAGAAGTGTTGGATAACACAAACCGAATTACCTGAGAGACATGGTACTCTGGACCGTTCGTTAATGAGAATGTGACATAACCTTGTGATTCCTCGGTTTCCTCTGTGAGCAAAAAGAGTGAGATACGCGAACAAGAATAAACCTACACTACAAAATATAAATAAAAATAAAAATTAACTGCACTAACCCAAGACTGGCTTTTGCCAGCATGATTTTAAGGCTAAGCCATCCTCTTTCCAAAACTCATCTGCCCCTTTCTCGAAACTAACAAGACCGTGCTTCGAAGCCTTACTCGTGTCATGAACAGCTGGCTTTGGAAAGGGGAAAATTGGATAACAGAAAACACAAGAAAACAAGAAACTGTTTGTCAGCTAGAATCATCGAAAATCGACCCTTCTTTCTCATTGATATCCAAACAAAAGAAGATCAAAGCATAAACATAATGACAAGTGACCATAGAAATGGTGACACATAAAATTAAAAATCTCCAAAAATCATAGCTTTTCGCCATAATCGTCGGTCCCTTAAATGTCCAACCACAACAATAAAACCACAAAACTCAAATAATCAGCTCAACAAAAATTCAGATCAAAACTAAAGGACTTAGCATTCAATGCCGATAAAAAAATATATGATCTAATCCGCACAACCACAAATCGGAACTAAAAAAAGGGTAGAGGATCGAGCAGAAAAGGCTCCAAAAAAATCAGATTTCACACACACGTACACACACTACTGTACCCACGCTCAAATCAGCTACTGGTGAACATAAAAGGCTAATTGAACACCAAACAAAAAAATCAAACAAGCAAACAAACAAAATTAGCAGATGAATAAATGCAGACACATTTCAGAACCGTACGTGGGCAGAATCGAAGTGGTCGCGCTTGATCATGTTCCCGAGCATCACGAACATCGTCATCGTCAACACGCCGGCCAGTACCTGCCTCGGATCAACAGCCATTGATGCAGATCTCAGCTTCTCACTGTTGCAGAGTGTGCTTCTAATTAATATCTCTATGGGCAGCTCTTTATTTGCTAAAAAGACACGCCCTTTTTTGCTGCCTTGTTTTCAGGTCTGTGTTAAAATATATGTTTAAAAAATACACTGTTTAATTATTTATTACAAAAATCATTCGTGAGTCGTGACTTTTGATTGATAATAATAATTAATCAGAAAAATTAGTAATCATGTGTGTGTAATCGTGTCTTTGGCATATAGATATGAGCGTCTGTATCTGTAGATGTGTGCACATAGAGACACCTCTACTGTGTGTAGTTTTATGGTGCACCGACAGTTCTCCTAAACACTATTGGGTTTTCTCCTAGATCTCAGGCCACCAATCCTAATTTTATTTGTTTTTTTTCTTTCTTTTTTAGTATTTGTTTTTGCATTTTCCTTATTATCCACACGTGGCAACGATAGTCTGATCTTGTTGGATTAAGTGAATCTCTCGATCGTTGATTCTTTAAATTGATAAATTCCATCATTGATCAATCCATTGGATTTCAATCCTCGACAGTTTCATAACTAATCGATCTGTTAGATTGGGTAAATCTCTATCGTTGATCCTGTAAGTTTCATAACTAATTGATTCATTGGATTTCAACCCTCGATAGTTCAATAACTAATCGATTCGTTGTTTTAATGGGTCCAAATCAAATTTGCTTCGGCTTTTCATCAATTAGTTAATTTCACTAGTTTTCCCATTAACTATTATACACTCATTATAAAT